ATGGCGGTATGCGAATGACGTCACGCAGTCCTTGATCGGTTTGTGTTTTTTATGACAGTGCACTATCCTTGCATTTTCAAACGTAAAAAATTGTTATTTTGAGGTTATTTCCTTTGAAAACTGTATTTTGTAATTAATTTATTGATTTTAAAATTAGCAGACTTCAAAAGCTTGTGTCCTTGAGGCTTGAGTGGTTGGCTAATTGCTAATTAGAAAGACGAGTTTGTTTGCTTTTGTTTATCAATTAGCCAAACATATTGCCAAAAAGTCAAAAAAACGAAGGGCTGGAGTCAAGCTGGCCCCCGGATTCGTTTCAATGTTTTTTTTTGTGTATGAAAATGAGCACAATTCGCATAAATACTGGCACAATTGAGCACAAAACGGGCACAATTGACTACAGTTGAGAAACAGTAGAAAACCAAATGTGGACTGCCGAGCCGGTTTAATTTTTGCATTTCAATATCAAAATATAAGCGAAACGGGGTTGCAATAGTGTGCTTTATTTTTTACTGACCCTACCTAGGTACTTCTCAATTATTATTCATTAATTTAATAGGTACTAGAACGATTTAATATGGACATTCAAAGTGAGCTTATTTCACAAAGCCAAGTAGTGATACCTAATTTAGATTCTCATAATCATATTCCAGAAAAACATTGCAAGTTTCCCATATTTTCCATGCGTTTTCATAGTAAACGCGCCAGTAAAGGAATTTATTTACATATTTATTTATTCACTCTTCACAAACCCTAATTTTTATTAGTAATTACATGCAAAGGAAACTTACAACTAAGTAGATATTTGATTTATAAAAAAAAAGCAAAAGAAATGCTTGACTAGGAAATACTAACTAGCAATACACACAAATAAAAGAGCGATGTCCTGATACAAAAATCCAGTATTATAAAACCAGAAAATGCTTGGGGTTTTCGCGAGTATTTTCAGCCACGAGTCTTTTATGCTTACACACATTAAATGAAACTTTAAATTTACACTTATTACACTAGATAAATCCGAATTTACGATAAAATAGTTGTCAGCACAAACTAAACATCATTCGTATCAGCGGCCATCTTGAAAATCCGGCATGCGCGTGACGTCACAGCAATTGTGAACAAATTTAGCCGATTGAGCAATCCTGTAGAGTTTAGGATTCTTGGGGACAGCCTTTTATTTTTCCGAAATAGCTATTTATGGCGGTGATCTTTTTTTAACTGTCAGTAATGTACCCAGTTACTTTTGGTGACGATGGTATTTGCTGCAAATCGTTCCAAAATCAAAATTCAGTTTACTGATTTACTGACTTGGCAAGCTTTTGAAATCCACAATGACATATGCGCATTTTCACCGATGTTATGCTGTCCTTGTCATTTGACAGCAGCAAAACAAGGATAGGTTACTCCTCATCAAGAGAAATGCGCATAAGCAATTGGTGAATTCAAAAATTTGGCCTTCCTTCAAGAACCCTAAATCTTAATAGAATGGCTTATCTAGCTGAAAGTGTCTGCCATGTTCACGCGAAAACTCCCCACCATTTGTGTCATTTTGACGTCAATGTAGACCTCAAGACTTCAGTGACGTCACGACTAGTCGAAAAGCGAACGTACGCCTTATGCGTCATTCTAACTTGCGCGAAATTCGCTCTTCTTTTGACATTGTTTCGACAATTTGACGTTTTATGCGTGTATCAAACGTCAAATTGTCGAAGCAATGTCTAAAAAGAGAGAATTTTGCGCAAGTGAGGCTTTATGGGGAAAAGCCATCCTGTTAGTTGAGGGTTGTTGGCCTTCCTTTATCCAATTTTCTTGCTCTTTCTTTCTGTTCCAAACCGTTCCTTATTCACTTTGGAGCAGAACGAGTTTATCTGACGGCCGTTCCCATATTACATTAGTTGTATTTCTTTCACACCTAGGAGGAGCTCCGGAACAGCTCCGGGGCGTTACGCGCTTATTCCTTTCGAAAAGTGTTTGTTGCACCCCGCATCTTTCCCTTTAAAATCATGTTGACTAACACCGGAGCGAGTAGCTCGAGTGTTCCAAACTCTTGAAAGGAATACAACTATTATGAGTATAGTCCGCCGCAAAAATATTGAAGGACCGAAGGAGTGCGACCGCGAACACACACAACTCGTACGCATTATTTGTTGTCATTTTCTAGTCAACAGGCTATTAAGTATATCTCGATCGTTTTGGTGGGCTTGCTAGGTTCATAAAATCTGTCGCTATGAGTTCTGTCGCATTGGCTTCCTCTTCCCCTTCAGCGAGGTCGTCCGTCAGGATCTGTGCTGTGGACTTCAACAAAGGCGGAACACTCTTTCTCATGGAAACGCTAATCCCCTGTTTCAAGAATAAGGACCCTAGAGGTCATTCCAAGTAATGGAGCAAAACTCGCCGATCATGGAGCAAAATGGAGCAAAGCTCGGAAAACAAAATGCGCATATAAAAACTCCAAAATTTTCACCCATGTTGCTAGGAGATATTCCTCGTAGCTGTGTAGTTCATTCTAGAGTCGCTTTCATGTGCAGTGTGCGAAGCACCTGGAGCATTTCACGCCCATTATACTCAATGCGTTTTGCACGCGAACGTTTGAAAATCAGTTACAGGTGCATCAAGGGAAACAGGCGAGGAAAGTGAGAGCAGCTTGAGAGCGCCAAACTCTGTTCGCCCGAATGTTTAAAATTGTAGCCGGAGAACTTCGGCCTAATTCGAGAGCGTTGAGCGCTCAAAGCGTGGCACCCGGAAGCGGCTCGTCATGGAGCGAGTCATGGAGCAAAACGAGCTGATCATGGTGCAAAATAGAGCAAGACTCGGAGAACAAAATGAATATGATCAAATTTCAGAATTTTCACTGAGGGGGCTGGGAGAGATTCTTGGGAGCTCTGTAGGTCTCTCCTGGTAATGGAGCAAAACTCGCCATTAATGGAGCAAAACTCGCCGATAATGGAGCAAAACGGAGCAAAACTCGGAGAACAAAATGAACATGTTCAAATTTTAAAAAATTCACCGGGGGGGACTAGGAGAGATTTTTGGGAGTTCTGTAGGTCTCTCCTGGTAATGGAGCAAAACTCGCCGATTATGGAGCAAAACGGAGCAAAACTCGGAGAACAAAATGAGCATGTGCAAATTTAAAAAAATTCACCGGGGGGGGCTAGGAGAGATTTTTGGGAGCTCTGTAAGTCTCTCCTGGTAATAGAGCAAAGCTCGCCGATAATGGAGCAAAACGGAGTAAAACTCGGAGAACAAAATGAACATGTTCAAATTTAAAAAATTTCACCCGTGGGGGGGCTAGGAGAGATTTTTGGGAGCTCTGTAAGTCTCTCCTGGTAATAGAGCAAATCTCGCCGATAATGGAGCAAAACGGAGCTAACTCGGAGAACAAAATGAACATGTTGCATGTTCAAATTTGAAAAAATTCACCGGTGGGGGGGCTAGGAGAGATTTTTGGGAGCTCTGTAGGTCTCTCCTGGTAATGGAGCAAAACTCGCCGATTATGGAGCAAAACGGAGCAAAACTCGGAGAACAAAATGAGCATGTTCAAATTTGAAAATTTTGACCGGGGGGGGGGGGGGCTGGGAGAGATTCTTGGAAGCTCTGTAGGTCTCTCCTGGTAATGGAGCAAAACTCGCCGATAGTGGAGCAAAACTCGGAGAACAAAATGAGCATGATCAAATTTCTGAATTTTCACTTGGGGGGGCTAGCGTTAATTCAGCCCCCCCCACCTAATAGGACACATAGTCTCTCCACTGTAATGGAGCAAAAATCGAAATTAGTGGAGCAAAATGAGAGCAAAATTATGGGATAATTTTCATCCAGAAATTTTCTTTGGGGGGGGCTAACTTAACTGACCCTGTAATCACGGTTAAAATGTCAGTTCGATCGATGCACCAAAAGCTTTTGCAAACAAACAAACAAAACATCCAGGGCATGTAGGGCATTTTATTTGAAATAAACAGTAATTACATAGTCATTACCTAGTTATTGGAATCAAGTCATAAATTTGCATAGGATATAGGTACTACACCCTATAATAATGATAGGGCATCTTCTACCTCTTCAAGATCTATGATCTACAACTATTGGCTTATAAGATCCTGATCATCCAAGGCTTCAAAATAATGTTCCCTCTCATTCCAACGCCTTGGAAACTCTCATATTCCTTATTTCATTGCTGTTTTTTCCTGGCTCACCTCACACAAATTTTCCAGTTTTTTTTTTACAAAAATGTTTGTAAAATCTAAAATGTAAAAATGAAATTTGAAATCGGAACCAAACAAACAAAACATCCAACCTCATTTTATTAACTAGCCGCGGTTATCTTGTCCTAAATTCCAGGCCATCGAGCGATTTAAGTTAATTGCCGATTAGGCGAAAAAAACGCTTGGTGCATAAGAAAAATATTATCTAATCACGGCTAAAGTCTTAATCAGAGAATTTGTGCAATGGTGCATAGGGGCATAAGAGTTAACACGAAAACGTCGCAGCAGTCAATCCCGAACTTTGAGCTACAGTCTTCCGTAAACCGCTCTGTTTTCGCTATTAAACAGTTTTAAAGACCCTCATTAGGCAGGTTTTGAGCTTTTTCTTCATGACGCATGAGTGCATGACGCTACCAAATTTGAACTATGACGTTTCGTAATCACAGTTTCGTAATCAACCAACCATCATTAACCTATTTTTTATTTCACATTTCACTCAAACAAGAGTTTATGATCTTTCACAAGTTTAATAAACTGCAAGAAATCAGAAAAAAAATTAGAAATTTGGATTTCATGAATAACTGGTCGGCATTAGGTCTCTTCTCACAGAGATCACAAACCTATCAGAACGAATTTATTTGGCTGAAAACAGTCAAAAAACTGGTTGTTGGTGATTTGCACCAATCAAAAACGCTCCGACTGGTTTGCGATTTCTGTAAGAGCAGAATGTTTAATCACAATAGACACATTCTGTACTAGTTAAAAAATAGGAATATAACAATTTTTCACCAAAAAATAAACAAATGTGAAAAGAAAACCGAATATATTCATCACAGTAATCTTGTTACATAATTTCGAAATCATCTGCACGCCGACTAGATTTTCTCTCAGCTTGTTTCCTCAAAAATTTCAAGCCTGCTTCAATAGAATCTGCTAGATTAACTTTCCCTGAAGCATATTTGGGTTTCTTGCTGTCAGAGGCTCCGTAATAATCATAAGTGGGCGGTGGAGCAATTTCGGTCCTTTTTCTTTCTGGCTGTTCATCATTATCCGGCATTATTTTGTGATAATCAGCTAAAAGTGCATCATTATAATCAGGCTCTTCAACTTCATTAAATATTGGTGTAGGATTCATAGCACTACTTCCACTGGCTGAGATCTTATTGTGACTGAAAATAACATCATCATTTTGTTCTGTTGGATATTCTGGATCATAAGAAGTATTTTGACATGTAGAATAAGTTTTATTGTTGCTTCCTGATGGTTGTGACTTCATATAATCCTTCAATAATTCGTCATTATCCTCATCATCACTAGCTTCAGAATTTGTAGTCTTGTGTGACTGTTTATATGGATTTATATTTTTCAGTTTTTGATGTCTGTTTTTGGCATTTCTTGGAGTGATAGAAGAAAATTTTAATGATTTATCGCTACTATCAATATCGCATTCTATTTTCTTCATACTGCTAAATTCTCTACTTTTATTGTAAGTCATAGGGGGAGCAAATTCCGAATGTCTTTCTTTGCGTTTTTTCTCGTTCCATTCGTCTTGATTCATTTGGTAGAATTCATTGACACCCTCTTTTCCGATGTCCCATGGCCGAACGTGACGTTTTCTAGCCTCTGCCAATAGTTTTTCTCCTTCTTTGGACTTTTCTTCAGATTTTCTCTTATCTTCTTCTGTGTCTGGGGTAGATTCTGGAGTCGGTTCTGGTTCTACAATATAATCTATGAAACTCAATTTCTAAAAACTAAAAACCTTACCATCTTCCTCTGGTGGTAAACCCAATCGCGCCCTTCTTCTATTACGTGCAGCCTTCATTCTTGCTGCCATCTGTTTTTCTCTCTGTGCCTTTAAATCCTGTGCTTTCTTCTGCTGCTGTTCTGTTTCAGCTCTTAATTTTCTCAGAGCATCTTGTTGTTTGGCTCTTTCCTCTTCATCCTTGGAAAATGCATAGTAACCTGTACCATGCAGTCTCGCCTCTATAAATGTAATAATATAAAATAATTGATTAAATAATCAGAAAAATGTTTATTAAAATTACCATTGAACAAAACATTTTGATAATGTATGTTAGTTTTATCTCTTAGTTCTTCCTCTTCTTGTTCCCATTGTCTTCTCAATTTTTCTCTTTCCATATCTGCTGATATCATTTCAGGTTCAACTTCAATATTTGCATCAACTTGTTCTTCTTTTTCTTTCTCATTATTTTCATTTTCTTTATCCTTATCACTGTTAGTTTCCTCAGTATTAACGACTGGTTGCTGTGGCTTGTCTATTATTAATTTCAAATCAGCATCTTTTGCTTTTATATTTTCCAAGTCTTTCCTCAAACATTTTCTTGAACGACCTAGACAATCTGTATATTCAACCCTAAGAATAAAAATTTATTATAAGTAAAAAAAAATTGGCTTTATTATTTAATCTCACCATTCATTCGAAGGATCAACATCATCATCATAGTAATCGGAATTATGTTTTTCTTCATCTTCACTTTCTTCTGGAAACTCTTCATTTGTACTTTGGAAAGAACTTCCTCCTTGTTTTTTGTCAAACCTTACTAAATATTTTCTATTTATTTCTTCATTCTGTTCTGGGTTAGCATTAGCAGACAACTTATCATAAAGTTTAGATTTGGCTTCTAGTTTTGACCTGTAAAGTAAGGAAAGCTATTATTTATTCTACAATTGAATTGAAAAGAAATACTGCCAGACTGGCACTGCTTTCATCATGACACCTAGTTTTCTAGAAATAAAGTGAATATATTATATGTAGGTTATTCTCACCTGGACAACTTTAAAAGATCCTGTTCCTCTTCATTTAAATCATTCAATTTTCTATCATCTACTCCTTTGTTTTTCAACTCCAATGCTTTTTTCTTTATAACTTTTATTTTTTCAGAATTTGCTTGCTTTGCTTTGCCCAACTCTTCTTGTTTGCGTAGGATTTCTGCTTTCAAACTTATTAGCTAAAATATTGAAAAGAGTATGGTATAATCAAATAAATATTGTAGAATGCAAACGTTCTAAAAATGAGGAGTTCTCTTTTGATTTTAAAAATGGCAATTTCATTTCATTGAATAACTATTTGGCCGGTGTTAATTGGTGTTTTCAATGATTTGACCCTTGAGCAGGCTGCTCTATGGTTTTATGAAACATAATTGTTCCAGTAAAGAAATTTTGAACTTCTAACTTTCCCATGAGGTTCAACATTGAGCTGCGCAGATGGATTGTTGAAAAGAAAAAGCCGCACAACTATTTGTTGTTTTCTGAAGTGCGAGATAGGTGCAAGGATTTGAGCGACTCCTCTTATAGAATCTACCTTCTCAAATAACATTAATGGGAATCCTATGATATTTTGGTCACACTTCGAAAATCTTAAAAATAACTTTGTTCTTTCCTGTAACATGAGTAAAGTCTAGTACTCATAACTGCGAAATTCGCACTTTTTTGACATTGCTTCGACAAATTGACGTTTTATGCGTGAATTAAATGTCAAATTGTCGAAGCAATGTCAAAAAATTGCGAATTTCGCAGTTATGAGTACTATTAGGCTTTATAATGGCTCTATTGGCTGTAGTAATGAAGAGACTGGAGACTTGTTTGCAGACTCCTTTTCTAGTGCTTACTCGAGTCGTACCGCCAATCAGGCTCCGGAATACTCATTTTTCAACGTCACTGACGTTTCTGAATACTCGGTTTCTTGTAATGATATTATAGAACAAGTAAAAAATTCATGTTGTCATGTGGGCCGAATAGAATTCCCTTGCTCTTCATAAAGAAATGCCTGTACACTCCTACGACGCCCCTGGCAAATCTCTTCAACCATTCATTGTTGACAGGTTCTTACCCAGTTTTGTGGAAGTTCAGCTTATTGAAACCAATATTTAAAAGAGGGTCAAGAGAAGAGGTCTCAATAACCTTTGACAGGGTTAAGCATCGCCTGCTCATTAGGAAGCTTGGTTGTTTGGGGGTGAGAGGTTCAATTCTGAGTTGGTTTGCTGACTTTCTTGTTGGGAGAACTCAGGCAGTTAGGTATGGCGATATTGTGTCTCATGTACTTGATGTTCCTTCTGGCGTACCCCAGGAGTCTCACTGTGGGCCGATTTTGTTCAATCTTTTCATATTTGATGTGGGTAGTCCCATTGCACACAGCTCATTTTTGTCATTTGCAGATGATCTTTTACTTTATCGTCACGTATTTTTTTTGAAAGACCGCTGCAAGATGCTATCGATTCTTTCGATAAATGGTGCGGCTTGAACGAAATGGACCTTTTATATTGGCAAATGTTATAATAGTTATTTACATTACAAGTGCGTTTATTAGCATGATTACAATAACGAGTGTGAAAGATTAGAACGACGATGTCGTAGACCGAGGCGTTCTAATCAAACGAGTTCTGTAGTCATGTTTAAACGCACGGGTGATGTTCAACGTTTTATCTACAAAGCGAAAAATAAGAATGTTTTTTCAATTATTTCCGTTTATTAGTAGTTGTCAATAGTAATATAACTAGTGCAATGGAAATTATTGATCATTTTTGGGAAATTTGGCCGAATGCATTTTTAGTTGAAAACGCATGAGTGCAAATTTGTCGAAAATTATAAATATATTTCCATTGCACGAGTTGTATTTAATGAGAGAATTTCATTAATCAAAAATTTGAATTTTTTGTCAAAAAATGTCAAAGCGCCAGTTTTCGCACCAGTTACTAGTGCAAATTATCAGATAATTGCAATCTGATTGGTTCAACTCAACAATCAAAACATGTCAATTCATTGTTGGAATACCAGTTTTGACAGATGTATGAAATTCTCTACCTTATTCATTTTAACCTTTACAGGTTTACCTTCGACATTTGTCAAATCATCAAAAATAGTTGTGTTATAGATTCATAACCTCGTCCATAACACCACTAGTTGTGTTATGAATTCATAACCTAGTCTATAAGACCACTAGTTGCATTATGAGTCTCATGACATAACTTGAATACTAGAAAAATGGTTATGTAAAAACATCATAACCAAACGCTTGCAGATAAAATAACTTTTTCCAGGTTAGCCCAAACAGTGCAATTCCTTTACTCAAACTCGTCAATCAGGGACATTTTAAAAAAATTGATTGACTAATCATAATTAATGGTGTGCTTGCAAATAAAATAGTATACAAACCTCGGAGGGAAGTTTTCATTTCTGTCTCGAGATTATTAGTCAATCTCGACGCTTCGCGATTGACTATTATAATCTACTCTGGTTAGGTCTCACCTTGAGTACGCCTCTGTCGTTTGGTCTCCTCACGCAGAGGCCAACATAGATCTTTTGGAGAAGGTCCAGAAGCGGTTTTTGAGATACCTCTACTATAAAACTAATAACATTTACCCATACCTCGTTTCTTACAGGAGTATGCTGACTACTTATAATATTCAGTCTCTAGAAATAAGGCGAAAAATTGCTTCAGTACTGTTTATACATTACATAATAAACAACATAAAATTTAAGTCTTGCCTTTTTATCAATAATATAAGCTTCCATGTTCCTAAAATTAATTTAAGAAAAAAAAACGCTGATCTGTTTTACTGTGATACATTCAACTGGTCAGTACTGATGTCAATGCAGTATCAGTGTAATGTATTAATTGATGAGTTTGATATTGACATGCACAATGTGGATGTCCAAAAGCTAAAATCTTGTTTTAATTTATATTGATGATTTGTAGTAGTGTATTTTTCGTAGTTTTAGTTTTAGGTAGATTCTAGGGATTCTGTTAGTTATAGTAACCCTTACTTGTCATTATAAACTTGCTTGATGTTTGTAAGATGTACCATAAATAAATAAATAAAACTTGTATAAAACAGTTTCACAATGACGTCATAATTTCTCGGCGCAAGAAAATGGATTTAAAACATGGATTGGATTGTATTTCGAAACGGGTTGAATCAATATTGATGTGACGTCATGGGTTCATCGCGTGAATATACTATTTCAAACCTGTTTCAAAAAAGTGAACGCGAGAAAACAGCTTTGGTTTAGGGCAAACACGTGACATTACGGTGACATGCCAGCGCCTGCTCTGTGAACTCGGAACAGGTAAATATAATATTTGGTAATAGGTACATGGAATAGGCAAGTCGCAGGTCATACTTATTCCAAAAGAACAGGTCCAGTTCCAGCGTAACATCCCTACTGTGAGTACATTGTGAACATTGTACTAGAGTCTAGCCATCACATGTGGAGCAACTACGATTGTTGCCGAAAGCCGAGCCGAGTGCATTGAATTCGAAGAAAGGTGTATATTAGGTAATGTAATACACTGCTTTCAGGACGTTGAAGATTAGATGCGGATTTTTGCATTTTTTTTTTTGTTGAAATAAATTTTCTCTGTGGAGTAATTGTACTTTTTTTCGCTCATTTGTAAGTAAGCGAAGTAGTTCATTTTGTTTTCATTTTAAAGTGGTCAATACTGGGTTTGTAGGCAATAATGCCTGTTCTACCACCCTATATAACTTTCCACATTATTTGTTATTCTTTTGCAGATTTTTTCTGGATCATCTAAAATAATTGAACGCGATACGCCGGCTGATACATACCTCATAGGAGGACAAAAATACATAAACTAAAAAAAGGACTTTACTTTTGTTGGTTTTTTTTCTATACTACTAGGTATCCTAAATCCAAACTACAAAAAATGTTTTTACAAATAATTATTATCTTGTAAAATGGACTTGTAATTTTGTTTTGATAAAAATAAGAATAGTTGAAGAAACGATAAAAATAACAATTAAATTAAATTCTTGCTCACAATTTTCTAAGTACCAGAGTTTGCTGTTCGGCTATTATCGGGTTTGCTCCGGCTGTGACGGCTAGACTCTAGTGAACATTGTACTGTGGCACTGTGCGATCCATGTTGGAATACCTACCTACTCATTGGCTGTTTGGTTACCCCAATATGCTGTTTACATCGCAGCTCTGGAAAGGGTTCAGAAAAGATTTCTAAGGGTGGCCGCTTACAGATTGGGCTTGGTGCATGATAGGACGAGGCGAGAGATGAGGGCTTTCTTGAGTGACCATACCTTGCAAAGCAGGAGACTCAGGCAGATCTTCCTTTCCTTTAAAAACTTGTGACAGGGTTAATCGAGGGGTTAACTGACTGCCCAGCCCAGATCTTTTGGATTTCATTTCTTTGAGAGCAGGAGAAAGAAGGGTGAGAGGTTCTGACCTGTTTTATGTACCATTTCAATCATTTCATAATACTAATATAGCTAGGAATGAGTCGATCTCAAGGGTGCTCACTCGGGTGCTCAGGTTTGCTAACTCAAGAAGCTTGAGTATTTACATCCTTGGTTGTTCTTCTTTTGTTGCCTTTAATAGGAGATTGCTGCCGTTGCTTGCTGGATGGTTTATAAAATAAGTTGTAGGTAGGTATTTGTTTTTTGTAATTACAGCAATTGAAATACTTATTAACTTGGTGAATTCACATCAAGTTGTTATTTGTTATGTGACTATGTGATGTTTTTTTTTTTAATTGTTATTGTAAATTGGCCTTGCCGTAAATAAATAGAAATATAAACATCTCAAATTCCAAATCATAAAATACTTACGGATGATTTACTGATTTCGTATGAACTCATATCTAGTCCTAAGAACGATATTGATAATTCAAAATAAAAGAAATCTATTACTCTACTGCACTTATGTTAATTATTTATTCAATTATTGGTAAATTAATAATTTCTACTTATTTTTGTTATGGTTTCATGATTCACGATTTCTTCACGTTTATGTTTTGAAGGTGTCATTTCGTTTCAATAGTCAATAAAGTAGAGGAGAGCTTATCGATACGATACATACATCGATACGCTCTCGATGAAGGTGCAATAGGTGCATATCGATACGAATTTATTATTGATATGAATCGATAAGGATTTTTCTAAATTGGAACCATTTTATGATCAGACATTTTCCGAACCCACGATTCGATATTATCCCATGATAGATATTAGGTCTGTTTCTGAAGAAATCACAAACCAGTCAGAGTGAATCCCATTGGTTGAAACTAGTTTTCTGACTGTTTCTGACTGTTTTCAACCAATGAAATTCGCTCTGACTGGTTTCTGATTTCTGCAGAAACAGACTTACTACTGGGCCTTTTCGGGTTTGGAAAAAGGACGGTTCTAGAACGGTTCAGAACAATCGCACAGTTTATTATGGAAATTTGTGATAGCCGAGTTGTGTTAATTTTGTTGATTGATAAACTGTCCGATTGTTTCGAACCGTCCTTTTTCTAAACCCGAACAGGCCTGCCTATAAATCGATACGAAAAGTCGGTCGATTTGGATTTATCTCATTTATTTTTCCTTTCCATACCTATTAAATTAAATTTTATTTCTTTTCCATATGCTTTCTTCATTCACTAGAAAGGGTGCAATGAGCTTTTCTCTTTTGTAAAGCAAAGAAAAGGAAAACCAAAAACTGAACAAATGGGAATTCAAAAATCGACAATCGACCCAAACGTTATCGAATGTCATTTCACATCGAAACGATTGCACTTGCAGTGAAAAAAAAATAAACAGAACAGTGTGGAAGGGCAGTGAATTTAGTGATTTTTTCAATTATTGAGAGTGAGAGGAGGTATTTTTAATAAACAGTTGAAATTTAAGCAATAAACCAAAGAAATAAAGCATTATTTTTCAGGACAATCAGAGGTTTGTCCACTTTTGTGGATTTATGCCAATTTCTGGCCTCTCTTCTCCATTTAAAAATTGTCAGACATTGATGTTTTCGCCACCCCTATCGCCTTTTATTTTTTTTAATTTCGTATCAAACAAATTCTATGAACCCATCGGATACTTCTACCACGGACGACGCTTCAAGGTATGTCCAAATTGGAAAATAAAAAAATACTGCTTTTCAAAAGTCACCTTCCTGATGATATTGAGGTTATGTTTTGAAATGTCAATCTTTTAAAGTTTAAAAAAAAATACTCTGGACTTGTTTGTGCATTTTTGTTTTCATCACTTGGTATTATAATAGATTGGTATTCTTTTGTAGTAATCCAGAGGCTTCGTCTAGTGCTGAAGAAAAAATTGCTGCTGAAGACGAGATGAAGAGGGCTGCAGCTAAAAAGCTCATCGAGCGGTATTTCTATCAACTAACCGAAGGATGTGGAAATCCAAATTGTGGCAATAAGGATTGTGCATCCAGTGGAAAGGTAAATTAACTTTTTACCGCTTTTTACTGATACTTTATTGGTTGTCAAAATATACCTATGGTATTTGTGTTACTGCAAGAAAGCTAAAAGCCAGTATCAGCTAGACTTAAGATTCAAAGACTTCATTGAACTTCTTTTATGTGAGATGAACCTCAACAAGAGGCTATAACTATATACTGACACACAGGCACTAACTGTGTATTTTTCGAGGTATCTATCTTCTGTTTATTTTTTAATATCAACCAGAACCTCTCTATATCATAAATATCCACTTGGCCTAATAGTCTAAGAGCCAGTGAATTTTTTTCCGTAAAAAGTTGCTGATGAAAAATTTCATGCTTAAACGATGTTATATTATCCCCCGAGATCGAAAACCATAGTCTGGCAGCATGTAGTGAAGTTTGGCATAGGCATAATTAATAAGTCATTAAAAAATTCACGAAAATCGAACTATTTGCCGATGGTCAATTTTTGCGGCATATCATTTAAAAATGTTCCCTTAACAAGGCTGTAATAATGCCAGACGATTTTCACGGGCTTAAAGCCTTGCCAGACGCCGCCAGATTGCAAAATAAATATAAAATTTTCGAAATACTTGCCGAAACATTTTTTTTTTAATTATGAGAAAAAAATTGTGAATCGAATGGAAATATTGTCACGACGAGGCTGTAGACGGAGTCGTGGTAACCACACGAGTACTATAATGAGCGTTACCATACGTGTGATATACATTTTATCTACAACTCAGATTTTTGTTTTATGTATTGGATGGTTTTGATTTTTCACAACAGATTATTCGGTGAGCTTAAAGCTCAAGGCTGAAAGAAAATATTTTCTCAACAAGGACTTCAAGCAACACTATCAGCAGCATCAGGTATTGGTTCTACTTTTATTATTCATAAATAAAAAATGAGTTACATAATGAGCCTATTAAATGACTAATGATATAAGGAGCTCAATACATCACTAGTACGATAATACAACTTATAACGTAACTCAAATAGGCTAAAATGGGTTACATTATCGTAATAAGCTCTCATAGTATGGATGGGTGGGTCGTATTTAAAAAGAAAAAATCATTATTACACAAAATCATACATAAAACCTAGTTTATTCTTTTTTTGACCTTTCAATACAATTATAAATCGATAATTTACAAGAATCGTAAACTCTACAGGATTGCTCAATCCCATAAGACAAACGTTCATAAAAAACATTGAAGATGGCGGCATGCCAATGACGTCACGCAGTCCTTGATTGGTTTGTGTTTTATTATGACAGCGCACTTTCCTTGCATTTTCAAACGTGAAAAAATGTTATTTGGAGGTTATTTCCTTTGAAAACTGTATTTTGTAATTAATTTATTAATTTTAAAATTAGCAGACTTCAAAAGTTTATGTATACCCCTACCTAATTTTTAATTATTATTCAATAGTTTAATAGGTACCTACTATAACGATTTAACATGGACATTCAAAGTAAGCTTATTTCACAAAGCCAAATAGTGATACCTACCTAATTTAGATTTTCATAATCATATTCCAGAAAAACACTGCAAGTTTCCCATATTTTCCATGCGTTTTCATAGTAAACGCGCCAGTAAAGGAATTTATTTACATATTTATTCATTCACTCTTCATAAACACTAATAGTAATTACATGCAAAGGAAACTTACAACTAAGTAGATATTTTATTTACAAAAAAAAGCAATATCTACAAATGCTTGAGTAGGAAAGACTATCAGTAGAAAACTAGCAATACACACGAATAAAAGAAAGCGATGTCCTGATACAACAAATCCAGTATTATAAAACCACTAAAATCAGAAAATGCTTGGGGTTTTCGCGAGTATTTTCAGCCACTTGATAAATCCGAATTTACGATAAAATAATTGTGAGCACAAACTGAACATCATTCGTATCAGCGGCCATCTTGAAAATCCGGGATGCACGTGACGTCATAGCAATTGTGAACAAATTTAGCTGATTGAGCAATCCTGTAGAGTTTACGATTCTTGGATAATTTATATTTTATTTTATGTCAATTAGGCAATCTACCGACCTGTCAAAAACGAAATTCAATATGGAAGTTCGGGTCAAGCGTTGGGTCAAGCCAATGACTTCTGTCACATTCTGGACAAACGTCAAGATTTAAATTATCGGATTTTGTGTTTTTTTTTGTGTGTTTAGGTATTGTGTTAAATAAAATGCCAGCGATTTGCATCGTAATTGGGTGTAGAAGTTGAGGTAACAGGGCTAATGTGAAATTTTATTCAGTTCCTGCTATTTTAAATCATCAGCTTTTGATCTACAAAAGTGAATTATCAAAACAACGCAGGGCTTTATGGATTGCTGCAATTAAAAGAAAGGATCTAACAGAGGCACGATTTTCCCTTGATATTTATACCTTTATACCATCTCAGAATTTATTATTAAATTAAAAAATACGTAGAAACATTATAAACACTATAAAATTCACTTTGTAAACAAAGGCCAGGACACTAAAAAATACGTAGACATACTAAAAACTATAAAATTCACTATGAAAGCAACAATATGACCAAAACTAATGGAAAATACGTAGAAACACATAAAATTCACTTCGAAAGCAACAAGGGCCAGCTGAACACAAATGCTCTCCTCATGAACGTCACCGGCTTGTCACCGCAATATTTGACCCGAACGGCCATTATAAAATCACGTGATTGAGATTGCCTAATTCAATGTTCACTATTTAATTATTTTATTTCATTGATATATTAACAGAAAAAAAAAGAAATATAATTATATTACAATGAATTATAAAGTACACGTAGGTACCTGGAATGGTCGCGCCGATTTATAAACAGTAGTACAAAAACAAAAATATTTGGGGTTAGGAATATACCAAACCTCACAGCAATGAACTAGAAAGAGAAAAGTAGCCATCAGTATATAGCTATCTTTGGACAAACTAAGAGAGAGACAAATGGTGGGTCCGACAACGGTGGGATCCATTCCTGTTACGTGTAGTATACCGGGCGTCCCACCGAAAGCTGCCAATGGCCTATATCTTTAAAACGCTAATCGATAAAGAAAAAAACCCGTTTGAAGGGGGAACCAAAGCAAGGTACTTTTCAGGCCTCCCCGAACCACCACTCCGGCGGTAGCCACCTTAACCTCAAAATCTTAAATGGCACTATAGGTCAGGTGATACCTTATTTGAGGGGTTTTTTAATTCTCTAAATGAATCTGCATAAAAAAATTATCTGATACAATTTCAAATTGTCAGAAAATAGCCCATACGAGTGAACAACTTTGCCCCCTTGAGGAGGTGAACACTGTCAGATACAGTGAGAGGAAAGGGGTTCAAATAAATAAAACCTTGATGATTTTTTCAAAAGTCTTCATGTTATTAATTTTGTATAAAATCGATCTTAAATCACATTTATCTGTTCCACCAGATCAAATGAGGTTTTCATCAAAATTAGACTCACATTTGAATCTGGATAAATTTTTTTTACAGGTCCATTTAGAAAATTGAATCATCACATGACCTATAGTACCATTTAGGATTTTGAGGTTAGGGTGGCTACAGCCGGAGGAAAAGTTCGCGGAGAGCTGAAAAGTACCTTGTTTTGGTTCCCCCTTCCAACCCTCCAAACGGTTTTTTCTTTTTTTTTTTTATCGATTACCGTTTTCAAAATATAGGCCATTGACAGTTTTCGGTGGGACACCCGGTAGGTATAGTTCATTCATTGGTGTATTCTTATACAAACGCTTTTGTTCCACTCATTCCTTGTCTTTCCATCTCATTTGCTCTCATGCAAAATCACCGACATGTGGCCACGGCATATTATCCGCTCCCAGACGCGTGGAGGGGATAATATGTGCGTTCACGAACGCGTAAAATAACGAACTTCGGCATCGTCTGGCGAGGATTAAACCTCGATAAAACCGTCTTGCACTAGGTTTGTTCGATTAGCAATTTTTTTCTCTTTAATGTAAAAAAAAACAGGTTTTGGCAAGCTTTTCGAATTTTTTATTATTTTTTTGCATTTTGGGAGTGTCTGGCAAGGCTTTAAACCCGTGAAAACCGTCTGGCATTATTACAGCCTTGTAAGTGGCACATTTTTAAATGATATGCCGCAAAAATTGATCATCGGCAAGTATTTCGAATTTGGTGAATTTTTTAATTAATTATGCCTACGACAAACTTCCCCACTACATGCTGCCAGACTATGGTTTTTGAACGCGGAGGATAAAACTACATCGTTTAAGCAAGAAATTGTCCATCAGCAACTTTTTACGCTAAAAGTTCACTGGCTCTTAGACTATAATAAAAACATTGAATGACAAGATAGCCGTTTGGAGGTACGTATGTGTGGACAGGGAAGAAAGTGTAATACAACAATTACAATAATCTAACATCCAACATAGCTAAATCTACACTTATGCTAATATTTAACAAAATTTTGCAAGGAAACATAATCAATGTCCTGTTTTGGTATTTTTAGTTTGTAATTTACAATTTGAAAAAATCTTCCTATATTCTCCAGCATTAAGTAATAGAATGAACTAAAAAGCAGTATAACAACTATCAAAAATAATTTAGTATCATCTGCAAATAGTAAAAAAGTGGCATTTTCCATGCACTGATGTGAATCAATAATGAAAAGATTGAATAATGGCGATAGCTGACCCCATTTTCGTATCCCCTGGGCCCTGAGCAAGCTCTCATAGAAAATGATTGATAATCATTAATAAAGACAAACTTTTTTTGATACACAACTTTCTAACCACTCAAGGAAACTTCCAACTCAGATTTCCCTACGTATTCCTTACTTCTCCCAAAGATCTCAGATTTCCCAAATTCCTATTTTGATAACCGGGTGTTTGACACAAAAACCTCTTCATACAGAAATAAGTAATTATTACCTGCCTTAATTTGGTAGAATTTTTATTAAAAAAACTCATTCTTGCCATAGTACTACAGATTGACAAATATCAATCGAAAATCC